CGGCCGGCGAGGACGAAGTTGAGGGCGATGCGGTGGAGGACGGCGGTGGAGAAGTGGTTGCCGTCGGCGTCGCGTTTCTTCATGAAGCGTGAGAGTAAGTCGTCGGAGGGAGATTCTTTCCGGGCGGCGATGGCATCGTTCATGTAATTTTCTACCACTGAAAGACTCTTCTTCAGCTTCCTCTCCTTTCCAATCCCCACAAGTTTCTCCAACCTTACAAACATAAAAATAATATACTTGACCTTTGTTTAAATAAATAAATTAAATGTTTAAATGTTAGTTTTCTTAAACCTTGAAGGCTATTTTTTTACCCCTCGTTTTAGTTTTCAAAATTTTGGGTTTATTATTATATATGTACTTTTTTTATTTCTCTAAACAAGCAAAACACCTCATTTACTCCCTTGAATTAAAAAATGAAAAAGAAAATCAGTTCGATCATTASTTTTGCTTTGCTGCATAAGTTAATTAAATTAAGGTAGTTATTATACGGACAAATATTCCACAAAAGATAAAAAAAGAAACCTAAAAAGTTAGTCTTTTCTATTTCTATCTTGTGAAAAATTTTAAGCGTCAAAATAATTATTAAAATAAACGTTTTAAAAGTTTATTTTTTAACAACTGAAAAATTAAAATAGATATTTAAAAGAGTTGAGAACCAAAAATTTACTGATGGTTCATTTTTATTTTATTTTTAAATTTTAGAAATTAAAATAATAGATATTTAGAAATTTAGAAAATAGGATATATAAGAAACGTTAAAGGATTTTTTTTAAATAAAAGTAAAAGTAATTAGAATTAGAATTGTTTAGGAACCTCCATAAGAGACCAGGGTAGAGAAGGCGCTGGAGAGTGGCCTCGGTGGCGGTATCAAACGCCATGGCGAACGGATTTCCGGCCAACTCCGGCGACAGCGTTTCCGGATCTTTCCCAAACGTCAGCCCACAGATGTTATCGAAAGTCAATCGGAGCAACAGATCCTGCAGATCCACCGCCGTCCGATACTCCGCCGCCTT